AGTGAGACACCATGTGACACTGTATCTTTACATGGAGAATAGTTGTTAGCTGATATATATAAATGTTTAAACCTCATATAACCTTGTAAGAATCGTTGTATTACTACTTTTGCTTAAGTGAAAGATCTGAATACTTTTTTCCCACTGGATATTAGAAATAGTCTCTGTGGGCTTCCGTCCTGACTCCTGATGTTTTTTTATGCAGGGAGCCCAGAGAGGTCGAGGTGAACAGCAGCTGTGTGGAGTGTCACCCAGAGTGTCTCCTTAAGACCGGGATCCCGACCTGCCACGGACCGGTGAGTTCAACTGCTGCTGCTGTCTGCTGAGGTTAATTTAAATCTAGAAGCGACGAAGATGCAATCTGCAACTACACCCCTAGATGCTGCTGGACCTTTAAGAACTGACCAAATGCTATATCATCCCTCCTCAATCTCCACCTGCAGGGTCCAGACCAGTGTTCCCAGTGCACCCATTTTAAAGATGGCCCCCACTGCGTGCTGCGCTGCCCCCACGGTATGCTGGGAGATGGAGATACGCTGATCTGGAAATACCCTGACAACACAGGCCAGTGCCAGTCCTGTCACCAGAACTGCACCCAGGGGTGAGACACATGTTGCTAACTTTTCATTTAGAGCTGGTTGACGTCTCTGATGACCAATAAATGAATGACTCATAAGTTGCTTCGTGTGTCTGTGTCTGCAGGTGTTCAGGCCCTGGACTGTCTGGATGCACTGGGTAAAACTACAACTTTGGCTTTTTGACCAGTAAACCTACATGTTTTCTTGAGTCCTGCCTGTTACCTGATCTCATTTTAGTTCACAAGATGAATGTCTACGAGAGAGTAAGACTGGCTGTTCAGATGTTGCATCTGAAAGCAACTCTTTTATCCAAGATGCTTGGGAGGTTGCGCTACTGTTGCACCTGCCGTTGCTAAAATGATGAAGTCGCAATTTGAGCATATTAGAAATTGTTTGCCCTGCGTCATTTGTGCAAATTGGTCTGTGTTGACCTTACAGACGTTAGCTGTAAGCCAACAGCCACATGTGTGCCTTTCTCGTCTCTGTATGTTTATGAATTCATAAAATCATGGGATACACATTCGCTCAAAGTTTTCAGCTCAATTCTTCAATGAATTTGACAGAAAAGTAAATTAAAAGTAATTAAAAGAAAGTGAAGCAAAACTATTTGCAAGTAAAATCTCACAGTTTGGAGGGTAAATGTGATACATTATGCTAATTTCATACTGTTGGTTGGTTTAATTTACTGGTTAATGTATATTATATAAAGTAGAGCATATCAAATTCAATGCAGTCTAGATTTAATGGACAACTATGATGGCAAGTTTAAATCCATGAGAAATAATACTCAGGATGGCGTCCTGCATTCTGTGCGTCCTCACAGTGCTGCCACCCACTCCACGTTGGCGGTGGGCGTAGTTGGTGGGCTCTTGATTGCTGTCATCGTGTCACTGGTAATCTTTGTGTTGCTACGGCGACAAAGAATCAGGAGGAAGAGGACCCTACGTCGCCTGCTACAGGAGAGAGAGGTGGGACAGTTCATTTAATTTACTGTGATCATCACATTCAAGTTTTCCATCACAAAATTGGCACAGAAAAAAATAGCTAACAAAGCGGACGCATGCACATACAGACTGTTTGTATAGTCAGAGGTCTACAGTGTTGTGTTTTCTTCACCCTACTGTCAAATAAAGTATTTAACCCCTGTGAATATTTGTATCTGTATACGTTTGATGTTACTGGGGGGTTCAAATAAAATGTGTGTGCTGTAGCTGGTGGAGCCGTTGACGCCGAGCGGTGAAGCTCCTAACCAGGCACTGCTGAGGATGCTGAAGGAGACGGAGTTTAAGAAAATCAGGGTGCTTGGCTCTGGAGCCTTTGGGACCGTCTTCAAGGTATGAATGTTCACTTCATGATATTTTTTATTTGTTTTACATATTTAAAATTCATCATCCTGCTATTACTGTATTGACTGTGATGAATATTATTAGGGTCTATGGATCCCAGAAGGAGAGGATGTGAGGATTCCAGTGGCCATCAAAGTTCTCCGAGAGGCTACATCACCTAAAGCTAACAAAGAAATCCTGGATGTAAGACTCCCCCTCTTCTTCTTCTTCTTCTTCTTCTTCTTCTTCTTCTTCTTCTTCTTCTTCAATTCTTCTCTTTTACCTACTAGTTCCTGTTCTTTTCTTATTTTCTTGTTCCTCTCCTCGTCTTCTTATTCCCATTGTGTGATTGCTGCACAGAATCTTTATTGTAAGTGTAAGTGTAAGTCTTTATTTAGCTTATTATTTTTTTATAAGCAAATATAACACACGTTTGAAGACACATAATTCAAAATGTTCACATTTGAAGACTCTTAGTATCAATCTGGTGATTACTTTTATTTTTGATATATGTCACAGTTATTGAGATATGAATATTTTACTGTAATTTTCTTTTTACTGGCCCGTCAATGGAAGTCGCATATAGTCGTAAAAATCGCAGATGCTATACATGCTAAAGTCATAAAACCTGGTACACAGGTGCCCCATTGAGATGTGCTAAACTATTAAAGCATGAATTCAATAGCACCGCCATGTGGTTGGTTAGGGTTAGACATTTTTTGCCTCTTTTGGCACATTCCAAAATGCTAATATGCTGAAGTCTAAACGGAGCTTACAGAGCTGAAACTTTTTTAGCACATCCACTGAATTGTGCCAAAAGTTGATGTACTGATGTGGGCCTCACCCACTCACCCCTTAAAACATTCTGATATTTTTCTTCAAAACCCAGTACATAGTATATTTAGATTAAGCTGATGAGGTTTGTTTTTGGGTATCACTTATCACAATCATTTGTCTGTAATTGGTTACCAAAGACACAACCCGGCCTTAACTTAACAGGCCATAATAATTACATTTGGATTGTAACCAAAATTGGGAATGTTGTACATAAAGCCACATTGCAAGTGTGTGTAACATTTCATACAATTCTACCAATAATATCTAAGTGACTGAAGTAAGTGCTGTAGATGCAGGTCAGAGTTCTGTACTGTCTATTTGATTAATATAATAGCAACAATAATATTAATAATATATTAATAATATTAATTTGGTTTCCCTAATTTTGACACTAATTTTTTATTTGACAATAAAACTACAGAGGTCAAGTTGGATACTAGACAGAGCTTTGTGCTGTAGATACAGGGTATAGATCAGTGCTGTCAATTTGATTCGGTAATGATATTATTAATATTAACTTTATTTCTAAAAATAATCTGCAATCAGTCACACATTGTTATCTTATCTTCAGTATTTGTTTCGATTATTGATTAGTGTGAATGCTTCAACTGTTATACCATTGTTTGGGTTTTTGCTGTGTTTTATAGCCCCAAAAATAGCACAACCTCCGGTATCCAGTGATGTCACAAAATAGGATGTAAAAAGAAATAAAGTAATAATTGCATAAAAAAACATACAAAGATAGCATAAAGACGATTTTTTCAACACAGAAAACAAACAGCAAAATTCAGAAATGTCCCAGAATTATTTTGAACAACCTCATTTAGTCTCTTCCTCCACTGTCATCCTCAAAAACAGGTGTGACAAACTTGTACCTTTGTCCGTCTGTGTGTGTATATGTGTGTAGGAGGCGTATGTGATGGCGAGCGTGGATCATCCTCATGTGTGTCGTCTGCTGGGGATCTGCCTGACATCGTCGGTCCAGCTGGTGACTCAGCTGATGCAGTACGGCTGCTTGCTGGACTATGTCCGACACCACAGGGACCACGTTGGTGCTCAGTGGCTGCTGAACTGGTGTGTCCAGATCGCCAAGGTGAGTGATATGAATTGATTCTATCACAAAGTGTGATTACCACAAAACAGCAACTCTCGGCTCACAAGCTCCTGTCTTGGTTTCCACTCTCTGCCTGAGGCATCAACTCTGTCTGCAGTACATTTTAAGCCTGCTGAGGCCTATTAGCCTGAACACAGCAGGAAACTGTGTGTATGTGCATGTGTGTGTTGAAGCAGCGTTAATCTATTCAGCCTATGTTTTAAGTCTCACTTGGATCATAAAGTGCTGGGAAAATCACAAACAACAAGGTCATGAGCTCAGTAAAAATCTTTATTTTGTTTGCAGCATTAAGTTTCTCCGTCAGAACCACTCGTGAGACGGTTGAACAGCTTCAGAAGCCCCCCAACACACCTTTCCAATGTTGGATTAGAGGAGCTTCTGTGTAATTTTCCAAAACTGTCTAAAATGTGCTCCACAATTAAACAATATCACGTCTTTATGACAGCTGGCTTTTCACGCCATCCACTTTTTGAACACGTCATACAATCAAGTTCTTTTAACTACAAACAACAGCAGCAGCACAGCTTCCTCGCAGTGTTGGTTGCTAACCATACACTGTATAAATAAAAAAGGCCGTAGTCTCCGTGACATCCCTCATAGATGTCTGAAGAGGTGAACTGTTGGTGGAGCAGGCAACAATACAGATGAACTCTGATAATCAATCTAAATATAGGAACACACACACACACACACACACACCTCCATGCCTGGTTGTTAATTAAAAAAACGACCTGAGCCTGGCTTGAATGTGTTTCTGCAGGGGATGAACTACCTGGAGGAACGCCACCTAGTACATCGAGACCTGGCAGCGAGGAACGTCCTGGTGAAAACTCCTAACCATGTCAAGATCACTGACTTTGGCCTGGCCAAGCTGCTGACGGCTGACGAGAAGGAGTACCATGCTGATGGAGGAAAGGTGTGTTCGACTCAGGAGCTCAACCTGAATAGTAGCTGTTGCCTGAATATCTTTCGTTCACACTGAGAAGACTTAATAGGAGAAATGAACGTGTACTGAAATTCTCTGATGGTTCTTCTAACTATATATATCATAGTGGTTCTAAATCATGACTTTCATTGTCTTCAAAAGTCAGTGTATGTCTGTCCCTCTCTGTAGGTTCCCATTAAGTGGATGGCATTAGAGTCGATCCTTCAGTGGACTTACACACATCAGAGTGATGTCTGGAGCTATGGTGAGTGAAACCTCTGTCTCTGTGGCCTAGACATGGCCCTGAAGTCACGTTTGGTTTAAGAAAACCTGTAGACACACCTGCTCTCACTGTGTCCAGAGGTGTTGTAAATATTCTAAATATAAGTCTTTTATACTTTCTACTCATATTGACGCCTAGATGCCATCACCATCAGCTGCTGGAGCTTTCCTATTTTTATTTTCCTGCACAGACATCCTTTTTGTTTAATGGTCAGTGGTCAGAACTGAAGCTTTAAACATACAAATATATGATTTCTGCCATTAGGGGGTCTCTCACATCCAAACAAAAGACTAAGCTTGATGAGGTGGCGAAGGAGCGTGGGATCATGGGAGTTGTTGTCTTTACCACCATTGCAGTCATTGCAGTCAGCTTTTCCCGGTTAGGATTCCTTCAGTGTTTTTAAAGCTGCTAAAAACACAGAATAAAGCAGTTCCACCTTAAATGGGCAGACAAAGGACGTCCCGGAGGGGCTGCGAGCCGAGCTATTATTATTAATTTTTTAATTTATTATTAATTTACTAAATGACCATCATGCTGTATGGAAGATGACTTGAGATGAACTCATTAGGAAACTGTTTACTGAGCTCATAAATCAAGTCAGAAGTCAATCAATTTATCCCTAAGATGTAATACTATCACACTTCTTATTGCAGCCCATGGAGTTGCCACCTGCTGGCCATTAGAAAGAATGCAAGACGATTATGATTGTTTTGAAGAACAAACAAACTAGAGAGTTTTTTCCCCCAGTAACAATAATGATTTTGACACAACTTCACCTCATCTGTGTAAAAGCATCACTTTTTGCATCTAAAAGGTTAAACATTGTTCTATTAAATTGGTCAAACAGACTAGTTTTTAATTCTTCCAACGTAAGCCTTCTCTTGTGATGGCAGTTGTCTTTCTTTGGACATGTGTTGATACAACTTTACCAACCAGTGAGTCAGTTTTAGTGCTCTGTGGTCTGCAGGTGTGACAGTGTGGGAGTTGATGACGTTTGGTTCTAAACCATACGACGGCATCCCGGCCAGTGAGATTGCCTCGGTTCTGGAGAGAGGAGACCGGCTACCCCAGCCCCCCATCTGCACCATCGATGTCTACATGATTATGGTCAAATGTAAGAGCCATGGACACGACACAGTACACAACAACAAGCAAGAATCTGCAGTCATGCTGGCACCTTTGTGTGTTTAGGTTGGTGCTAGTAGCTAAATGCAAATGTTAGCAGGTATAATGGTATTATACCCATGTTATCTATCTTAGTTTAGTGAGTTAGGATGCTAGCATTGACTAATTATCACTAAACACAAAGTTAACCAGCGTGTGATTAGTTTTGCAGGTATTTGTTCAAATATTGGATAAAATGTTGATCTGATGATCACGCCAGATGAAGTTAGATAATCAGAGTTGTTACAATTCATCCTGAGAGGAACATAAATATCTGAATCACATTTTATCACAATCCATCCAATAGTTGTTGAGATATTACAGTCTGAAAGTATGAATCAACTGACATCGCAATCCCACGGCGCTAGTGGGTGAACCTGGACAATAACAGTCAGACACCTAGATAAGAACACCTGGGGGTCCAGCTGAGGAAATGTTTGCTCTCTCTCCAGGTTGGATGATCGACCCGTCCAGTCGTCCCAGGTTCAGAGAGCTGATAGCAGAGTTCTCAAAAATGGCCAGAGATCCATCCAGATACCTGGTCATACAGGTACACAGTGTGTGTGGGAAATAGAGTAACTGATTCAGTGAATATTTTTAGTTTATTACAACTTTGGTCTTATTTTGATAGTCGTTTCTATCAGTAATAATAACATTGTACGTAAGGTCTTTTGCACTTTTTTCTGTTTGTTATTTTATTGCCATTCTATCTGCATATATGATATCACATCTTATGTATATATATATATATATATATATGTATATATTCATCGTATATTTGCTTGTTATTTGTTTACCGTAAAATTTTGAATTGATCTGCCTCCTGTCTCAGGGCGACCTCCCCAGTCCGACAGACAGCAGGTTTTACTCCCGCCTGCTCAGCTCAGATGACATGGAGGATGTGGTCGATGCGGACGAATACCTGCTACCTTACAAAGGACTGGGTAACCATGACAACCGTCCCTGCAATGCCACGGTATACAGACACCTCTTTTACAGTTCTAGCCTATTTGCAGCCAGTATATCCCCAGAAATGTTGAGTACCCCAAAGTTTTATGTTAGAAGTCTATATTATGGGTCCCCAACATTTAAAATCTGCCAGATGCTGGTTTGCATATGTTGGACAATTAGCATAACTAGCATTAATTAGCATATAGCATATAAGAACAATATAATTATTATAATAATTAGGAGTGCTGAAGTACAAAATTGCCGTTTAATCCAGAAGTACCCATATTTCAAAACCCAGTGGGCTGATATTTGGTAACTTTGCTTATTAATGCTAATTATGCTAATTGCCCAACATATGCAAGTTAGTATCTGGCAGTTTCGAAATGCTAGAGACCCTTACTGTATATTTCTAACACTAAACATTTCTTTGTTCATGTCACTAGCGAGTCGACTATTCACTTTGTGTGACACAGGAACTGCAATAACTGTTCTCTAACTTGTTTGAAATACAGTTGTTTTGCTGTAGATTGAGATTAAAAACCACAGATAAAAAGTACAAGAAATAAAAATGTAATGCAGAAGTAGACAGTGACCTGAAACCGACATTTTACATTTTACACAACTTCTCTTTTTGTGTTATATTTACAATATAAACATTCAGTATGTACAAACACATTTGACTGCTTTTCTTCTTCATCTCAGAATGGGCGTCCAGTCAGAGAGAACAGCATCGCGTTACGTTACATCACTGATCCCACTCACAACTCACTGGATAAAGAAGACTTTACCGGCCATGGTACATGTGGATGATTGACAAAGTGTTTTTAAAATGAAGAACAAAATGATTAAGAACCTTACTGAAGATGAATGAGTAAAATACAAAAATAATATATTATAATAAATAAATAAATGTTTAAAAAAAATAATAGTTAAATAATAACAATAAATGGTTCATCCAATAGGTGAATTAACCAACAAACATTTATTTGTAGAGTAGAATACCTCCCAGTGCTTCATGCATAAAATACAGACTCAAAATAAATAATTGAAGTTCTCATGAAAATGTTTTTTTTGAAAAATTATCATCCAAAAAACAGTTTTTCTCCTGGTTTCAAAGAAGAAAAAAAATGTCACTTGCCTTTCAGGGCTCCCATAGTGCTCTGTAAGTAAATTTATATTGTTTTTGTTTCTTTCAGAGTACATGAACCAGAGTTTGAGTGAAACCAGCCGCAGCAGCAGGCTGTCGGAGGTTTTGAATCCCAACTACGAGGACCTGAGCCTGGGCTGGGGTGCTGCCTCGCTCCCGTTCCCACTGGATGATCTGAAGCCTTTTGTCCGAGTTCCTGAGGGACCTGAATACCTGAACACCGCCCGAAGCTCACTCCCCCTGGCCACGAGCGACAGCCTGGAGAACCCGGACTACCAGGCTAACTTCCAGCCGCAGGCCACGCCCAACACCATCTCATTAACGGGGAATGGCCTGTTTCTCCCGGCAGCGGAGAACCTCGAGTACCTGGGTCTGGGTGCTGCACTGCACGCCCCTGTCCGCTAGGGGGCAGTAACATTCATGCACTTCAAACTGAAGCTAGGAGTTTCTTTGGAACTAAAATATCGCCTACTTTGATCTAGGCTGCTGACAGTATTTAAGTAAGCTGTTTTATTGTACATTTGTCCAGGAAATGCTGACTGACAGCAGCAGCTTCTGCTACACCGGAACACAACCTGCACACTGAGTGTTGCTTAACGGCAGCCAGACAGCAGTCACTGAGAAGGAGAACCAGGATTTTCCCAGGGATTTAAACTCACAAACGGGATGTTTTGTTGAACTTTTAAATGGCTTCATTAACTTGTTTGATGTCTCAAACAGACAGAAATATTACCATTTCGGACCCTCTGGGAAAGACACTGCTGCATGACGGATTCAAAATCCAAGAGGTACCAAGCGGCAAACTCTGCGGGAGCAATGAACACTGAAGTAACATATTAAAACTCAACTTTATAGCAGAAATAAACATGTTTCCAGCCTGGTGCAAGAAAACACTTTTTTGGTCTCTTTAGCTAATTTCCCCGTTAATGACAACTGTACAAGGGGTGATTTTTTGATAACTCACCCCTTTAAATTATGTTAAGGCTTAAAATTGACAGGTGGTTGCCGTCACAGGTGGCTGTTTTCAATAACCACGCTCATAGTATAATTAGCATAATTAGCATCTTTGCCCCATTTTTGGATTAGCCGGGAGCCGGTGGAGTCTTAACTGCTAACATGGCAATGGCCAGAGCCGACCACACAGTGGCTCTTCAGAGACTCACAGTCTTTGTCTATTTTTAATTCTAGTCTATGAGAGGCACATTGACCCACTTCTATCTTTCCTTTGCATGAGTTTGTTTGTCGATGCTAAAAAAATTAGGAAATGTTTTGGAAATTCATAAACTGACATTAGCAAACGAGCACAGAAGTTTAAAAAAGTGCAGAAGCGAAGTGGGTTCACCAAAGAATAAAACTGGAGAATTTTCGGAAAAAGTTACAAGTTACATGATCTGTATCGCTTCATGTAGTCTTGATAAAGGTTGCGAGGGAACAGTATTAAGGAGCACATTATGGATCTGCAGCTGCATCTGGCTTTATCCAGCACAGTGGCGCCCCCAGCTGCTGGTGTGAAAGCTCTGCAGCTCATGTCCAAGGACAACACTTTATTTATTTATTCAGCATTTATAGGCGATTTTTATTTAGCACATTATAATGTAGTAATGAGCAGACATAAGGATAATTTTAAGTGTATATTAATTTTACTGTATTTGTCAACAAGTATTACAGCTGTGTTTTAAAATACTCATTGGGAGTTATAGTTGTTAACAAATACATTTGTAAAAACTTAGATCTGCTAACAGGTACATTACAGTGTGTTATAAACCATGTTGTGTTTGTAAATGCTAAATAGGAGTGTTACCATTTATTCTGGTCATTAGATCTGTTAAATGATTAGTTTTTAGTGTAACACTTTTTGTGTTATAACTAGGGGTGTATTGAAAAATAACGTACATTTTGCTTTGTGATATTGATTCTCAGGAACACAACCGATTTTTATTTCGGGTTTAAAGCTCTGAAAGCTAGATCACAGTGTTGTAAACCGAGGACTATCATGTTGGATGGGACTACAATAAGTACAAATCCAGATCCCTGCGTAAACCTTTCTCTACTCAGATTTTATGCAGATGATGGTGTATTCTTTACACTATAACACTTTGCCTGAATTTCTTTTTACATTTTTTTTTGGAAACATCGCAATATATCTGTTTGCTTACAGTATTGCAATATATTGAACCATTACCTTTGTATGGCCATGCACCAGATTTTTGACAATTCATAGCCCTAGTTATAACAACATATCACGTTATTCTGTTAAATCACAAAAAGAGCAATATGCTGCCGATCCTAAACTTCAAACTCATCTATTTCCATGGAATGCCTCTGCTTAGGAAATCTTTCATACTTGATCTTCTAAAGTCCGAAGCTCTTGATTTAAAACTTTGGTCCATAAAAAGTGCTAAATTGAAGCCACAGCGATTCAATTGAAGAATAGTCGTGTTCATAAAAACTTCAAAGAAGAATATTGTTAGCAGTTATATAAAGCGTTCGGTTCTACATCGGATGTCACAGTTTTTAAGCCAGAGCGCAGATTCTCAAAGACTCCTCAGCTCTTCAGTGCAGTTTGCTGTTAGATGAGAGAACTGAAGTGGAAACATTTTTTATGTCATGCTGCAGACATTTTGAAAGTTTCTGTTTAGCTTGGTTTTGTTTTATTTGGATTTCTTGTGGCTAATACACTGCAACAGCCGGAGTTTGTGGTTTATTGTGTACATAGAAGGAGGAGTGGAGTTTCTCTTTGGAGAGATAAACAGTGTTTCTGTCAGACAGGTGAACTAATCATGGGATAATCAGAGATACAGAAACATAGATACTTAATTTGATGCTGGTGTAAGTCTGCACGGTTGCTATTTTAGGGTCAAGATCTGTCAGTTAACAATACTGAGAAATGCAGACTGCACTAAGATATCGACTGTAACTCGCTTAATTCTAAACCCATTTTCATGAAATTTGGTTTGTTATAAAGGTGAGGCATTGTACTTAAATCGTTTCATTAGTAAAATAAATAAAGTAACAACATTTTGGTTGACCTGCTATGTTTTTTAGTTAATTATCTATCACTACTGATTGTTCAGTGATTTAGATAAATAGAGATTTATTACCTGACATTTTTAGTGGTCAATCATAGTCTTTCTGACTCCAGTCTTCAATCTTCTAGTAAAGTTAAACTTAAAAGGTTGAGGTGGCTGTTAAACATTTTACTGATGCGTTTCTCAGTTTTTCAATAATGCTTAATTTTCTGTGAGTATAAGTTCTGTAAAATGTCAGCTGCACAAGCAAAACCGCCATTTTTTAACAGGAAATCATTTAATTCAACATTCATGAGATCCAAATGGTGACAGTTGATATTGCGATTGCACACTCACATCAAACTGAGAACGGAGTATCTTCGTTTCTCTATCTGTGGAAATAACGGTGTAAAGATTAACATTTGGGTTCACGTGGTAAATTCACTAAATCTTCTGTCGTTATTTGACTTGAAACTTGAGTTAAATTTAGATTTCTTGTTTTACATATGTACCCACATTGATGATTTGGTGTAAAACGTTTTTTATTCTGCTTTTACTTGACAAGAATGAGCCAAACTCTGACTGTACGAACTATTACTTCTTGTTACACTGCTGTTAGAGGAACTGTACGGAAGCTGAGACACTGGTTGATTATTCTTCAGGTTCTTAAGGGCATTTTATCTCAAAATGTTTGTTGCTGCACATCTTAAAAAAGTGTTATTACAAAGAAAGCTTTTTGGAGACTTTTTTCTCACTCAAATGTGAAAAGAATCCATAGAAACAAAAAGCATCAATTCAATCATATTCATCCTGTTGTTCACGGCGCAATAATAATTTCTCAAAAAAAAGTAAAAAGAAAAGATGTTTGTTTATATGAGTTGATTAGCTGGAGATGGACAAGGAGGTGACAACAGCAGACAAAGGTCAAATAATGGAAAACAAGATAGATATCAAACTTTTTTTAATTGTTTTTTAACACAACAAAAAAAGATAAAGAGTGACAGCACAAACGTTAACATTGCTTAGGGTTAGGGTTAGGGTTAAAAAAAGAAATAAGGCATAAGGTAAAGAAAAAGGACAAAAATTAATAAAAGTCTTTTCTATCTTTCTAAAATAATTGTGTACAGACTAGACCAAGAAATAGTGGTTAAAATTTTATTTTATTTTATGTATAGCTGGTGATAACACCCCACATTAGGTAAAGGGGTGTAAAGGACCATTTATACAGTGTACAGTCTAGTGGGCAGCTAGATGTACTCTCTAATTTGTCCAAAAAAGGGTTCCATAATTTGTAAATTTTTTAATTAAATTAGAGAAAATAACATTTGTCTAAAAACTAAAGAACAGTAAGTCATGAACCTGCTGGTTCGAAAGGTATCTTTCCATTTCAGAAGGATCAGCCATCAGGTAAGAAAAGTGGAAAAAGGCCATACAATCTTGACTTCTGACAGGGAAAGTGTGGGAGATGACCCAACCTAACTGATTTATAAAAAGTAGTCGTTCATTCATTTCTGTAAAGAAAACTAAATTAAAATGTTACTTTTCAGAGTAATTTCAGATCTAGATATGTATATTGACGGAGCCTCGACTCTCTGATAAACAGCCTCATCCTGCAACAACTTTTGACTTTTTGAGTCTGACATAATAGAAAATATATTCTTACAATAATTATAATCATTATGCTTCTGAGGCGGCAGTTTGATACCTTGATACCTTTGTTATCTCAAATATTGATAAAAATCACCACAACCGCCGACCTGATGTCGAGATAATGACAATAATTAAATAATTATCAACCAGGACGTCACTGACCTTCCGTAGAAAATAACACTGAGGAATTATGTTGAATGTCTATGAAAGTTGTTTTATTGTGTAGCATTTTAGCTTTAGTTGTTCTGAAATGTGAATTTAGTTGTGAAGCCACAGTTTGAGAAATCGTTGTTGTTTACAGGGCACAGCCAACTCTGAGAAAACATTAAAGTTGCAGTTTCCTCTTTTATTGTTTGTCATTGCATAATGTTCATTATAAAAGCTTTTGTGGTCTCAATATGCAGCGGTCTGTTTTTATACTTTATGCCACCAATTTTCTCCCACAAACATCTTTTGTCTTACATTTTTCATCCCCAAAAATCTTTGATGTAACAACCACATTGTACAGAAAAGAGAGCTGACCGAGGTTCTGAGTGCCCAACTGTTATTGAAGCATAGAGCAACAAGGGGCGGGGGTGGACAATATATGACAGCAGGTGTATTTCACTTCTTAGTCCTGAACCATCCCTTAGTTATGCTGCTATAGGCCTAGACTATCGGGGGATCTCCCATGGTGCACTGAGCTCCTCTCTTCCTCTCTCTCTCTTTCTGCACTCATTCATGTCCCATTAATGCATGTTACTAACTTCACTTCTTCCCCGGAGTTCTTGCTTTCATCGTCCTGCAGGTTCTCCATTGGATTCCTGGGTGAGCTCTGCCATTTGGTCCTTGCTAGACTGGCCATTGGCTAATATCACTGATATATCTTGTATTCACCTATTAAGTGTTTTGTTGGACTATTGTTGTTGCTGCGGTTGCTGTGCGCTGCTCGTGTCCCCTGTCGTTGCTGCTTCGCCGTCCGTCCAACGTCTTTTTCATTGATGCGTCATCCATCAATTAACTGTTGAATGTAGTTGTTGGTTCGTTGTGGCTGACATTCTTGTTTGGTTCTCTGCCGTCTCTCTGTCTCTCTCTGTCTCTCCTCTCCTGCTTCTCCCCCAACTGTTTCAAGGGCAGTGTGTCTGTCTAGGTTTTCTTGCCTGTTAAAGGCAGTTTCTTCCTTGCCCCGTCGCAAGGAGTGCTGCTGCGCGATGTGTTGGTACTGTTGGGTCTCTGTAAATGGTTTTGGAGGGAGTTCGTCTAGACTGGCTCTATTTTTGAAAAGTGGTCCTTGAGATAACTCTTTATGGACATTGGTTGGCCGCTATAACAAATAAAATTGAATTGAATTGAAACCAACAACTCCATTGCCAACTTCTGCTTCACTGTACTTGTTGTGCATGTGAGAATAAAGAACTTGAAGGAACCACTTTAAATAAATACTGACTCTTTGTGAAGATGAGAGGAGAGTGTATGAATTCACATTGCAAGAAGTCATGAGCATACTGTGTGTTTACATGTATACAGATCTTCAAGGAAATTGTCAGGCTGAATTAATTTCTACTACTGTGTGACATTAGGTATTGCAGCTATAAAGAAGGTGAAGTGTGAGATAAATGTTAGTGAAAAAATCCATTCCATAAATTCCATGGAATTAGACCACCACCAATTGAAAGAAATTAGTAGTTTCATCAGCAGTTTATGGTGATGTTGCTGTAAGATTATCTTTAGACAAGTAAAGGATATTCCTAAAGAAATAAACACACAGGCAGTGATTTAGTAGCTTTTTTTATATCATGTAATGGTAGATGCACACGTTCATTTTAATCTTTGCATATTTAATGGAGGCATTCCAGTAGTGTATGAAAAGAATTGGTATTTGTTTAAATTCTTAATTTCTTTTCGTTTTCATGGTAAATATGCAAATCCTAGCAATTCAGCAGAGTGAAATGTGTTTGATTTCCCTGTAAATTAACTGACGGTGTCATCATGAGGATTTTTAACTCGATACCTCATGGAATTCAACCACAGGACAGAGTTTTCCCTTGACATCTATTTCGTTTTACTGGTAAGCTCCTCTCATGGAACTATTTTTAATGTCAGCCATTTGTCCTCTCCTAGCTGGACATATCAAATGGTAGTTTTAAGGCAGCTCAATGCAGATGGTACTAATGATACTAGCAATGCTTTGATACCTATTGTGATGGCCTTTCCTCAACAATTGAGAACAGCTCAACTTGCAGTACGTCACCTCTGCTTGCTCCGTCTAACTGTCAAAGCTTGAATCTTTAAAAAGGTACTCCACACACCTATGGGTGACACAACACTTGGTTCTCTCTCTCTCTCACACATAATCCCCCCTTTTATACCAAGATGAGCCTAATGCTAGTTCTGGGCTGGTGCTAGTACAGACTTGGTTCAACTTGAGAACCTTCTAAAAAAACATAATATTGCAATTATTGTTGACAGATATTGCAATAAGATTTGTGATTAGTGAGGGAATTACATTTTTTCCATCACAAATAACATTTTTACTGAAAAAGAAAAAAAGAATTTGCCAAACAAATATGTATTTTATTTAGATCTGGTGAACCTGTAGACCAGAGCCTCTCTTTATAACCACAATAGTTAAAATTGCAGCTTCTTGAGATGCATATTGAAATTTCCCTAATCTATGTGCTAATAAATACATGCCCTGGAACCAGGTTTCCTGACCAAGAGCCATTTTTGTGGCTGTTGAAATGCTGTCGAAAAGTGGTTTGAGATGAGGAATCGGCTCCGAACCAGTAGTTAAACAGCTTTGTTGGAAAAGAGAGAATTTCTCACAATAGTACAGAGCCAGGAAACCCCCCACCAGAATGTAATAACTGTATTAAAAATATATATTAATAACAAAATCTTAGGTTCTTGGTTTTGCTATACACATACAGCACAGCATACATTCCTATTGAACTTAATCAAAACACACACCTGAATAATGTTAATAACAACCTTTAGCTAGTAGACAGCCACAGCCACAACCACAGCAACACACAGAACAAAATGGCAGTAACCTATATCCTACCTAAACCACCGTCAGAAGACTCTGGCCTTCTTTAAAGAGAAATCATCAATCATATCATCAAATTCCAACTCCCTGACGAGTTCAGATGGCCATGAGTGAGTTAGATACCTCTGTAACTGCTGCTGCTGACTAAAACCCTTGCCGTTAATATGACTGCCTTTCATCTCTTTGTGTTTGCGTATCTATTTTTTTCTTCCCTTCCTTTCTTACTGCTTTTCATACAATAACTTTGAAGCTGACAGAAACTTCTGATTCCAGCTGTGAAAACAGGCCACAGTCCTCAGTGATACCACCTCCCGCCTCTCCTCTTTCTGTCTTCTGCAAATTGTTAATGAAGCACAAAAGAACAAACCACACAGGTGTTTTCACTTGACTGATTAGTCCTCTCCTCTATACACTGACTACAGAGAGAAGTGCCACACACACCAGAGCATTAATGTTGATCTTGTCAGTGTTAACTCTTTTGCAAAGACTGAGTGCCTCTTCTACTCCATCATATTACTACTCAATTCACCTCTAGGGGTTGACACTGAACATTTCCACATAGTGGTTTGTAGAAGTACTGTGAGTGACTATTGTGAGTTTCCACTGACTGACCCACCGCTGCAGGGCCCCTGCCAGACTGTGTGTGCAGCTTCTTTAGCCTGTAGATTGTAGCATGGCTAAGGGAACTGAAAGAAGATGGCTGAACTTTGAGAATAAGAGTCGCAAATGGGTAACAGGGGCTTACCAAGAGCTTTGAAATAGGCCCGATTTTCAAAATAAAAGCACCCAGACAGGCTTACTTGGGAAGCAGTCTGTAATCTTCTGCACTGTCCATACCTTTGACAAATACAAA